GACACATCCATAGCCAAGAATCATCAGTCATGCTCTCCAGTTAGAATTTAAGCTCCGCAGAAACTTCGGTCACCTAGTTACTATCTTGGAAAACATTTATGGAATGCACTTTCGATTTGCAAGCTGTCGCATTGCTCCCCCCTCCCTTTCTGTTGGCAACTCTAAAAAGACCTTAGAAATATTTTATGAGTTGACAGCATTAAGATCTACGCTCACCTTTTTACTTTTTTTCATAATAATAGAAACTAGCCATTTCTGTAACAACAAATCTATCTAATCATTAACACCCAAGATCAATGTTTCAGTTTTAGTTCATTAAATTGATTTATCATTAAATTGATTTAGTTCATTAAATCTTTTCAGTCACTTGGAAAAAGCCCTACGATGTTTATTCATTTAATAAACATAGACACCATTCTGATAAAAGGCATATCTGTGGGTAAATCTAATAACTCCATGTCTTCTGCAACTGGTGGATTATCCCAATAGGCTGGAGAAAGCATCTTTTCAACCAACTGCACCGGGAAATGGACTTGTCAGGGTCTGGATCAAATCAACTATGAGGAAACAGCATGCCAGGATGAAGAGATCTGCATTCTCCAAAATGGTGTGCGTGGCTGTGAGCGCAGAGAAGGCCAGTGCAAAATTTCCCGAGAGACCCAACTTGTTTCTTTCGATGGAACTTCAGCAAGATGGAACTTCTGCGGTGGGGTTTATGATGTGTCTTCTGTGTGTGATGAGAGTGACCCCTCCTGGTTCAGGGTATCTGTCAACATCGGAAAGGACTGTGAAGGCAACCTGTCAGGGGTCAAGGCGGCTCATGTTTACTTTGGAGAGGCTGCCATTACTCTGAAAAAGGACAACCGGATATGGGTAAGTGAGAAGGCTGGGAAGAGAATCAAGCAGCTCTTAAGTCAACCAGAAAATTGTATCCAGCACCCTTGAAAGCTGCTTTCCTTCTCCGCCTTCATCTTCGATCACAAAGTCTGCTAATTAGCTGAAATCTGCCCCACTTCCATGTTTCCAATGTTTGTGTGTTATTCCATTCCTTTGATTGATTTTGTGATTTCTCCAACAACCCTAAAAGAAACATTAGGAAAAAAATCTACATTCATGATCAACAATATGCATATTTTTGTATGCATATTTCACACTTTTTCAATTCCTTGAAAAATATATCCCCCCTCCACACCCAATAATCATTTCTATGGGCATTTTACGTCAATGATACAGATAATACAGATAATCAGAGTTGGAAGGGATCTTATAGGTCATCTAGTCCAACCCCACGCCCAAGTGGGAGACCCTACACCATTTCTGAAAGAAGGGAGTCCAATCTCTTCTTGAAGGTCTCAAGTGATGGTGCTCCCACAACTTCTGAAGGCAACTTCTGTTCCTTGGGTTGATTGTTCTCACTGTCAGAAATTTCTCCTTATTTCCAGGTTAAATCTCTCCTTATTCAGTTTCCATCCATTGTTCCTTGTCTGGCCTTCAGGTGCTTTAGAAAATAGCTTGACCCCCTCCTCTCTGTGTCAGCCCATCAAATAGTGGAAGACTGCTATCATGTCTCCCCTGGCCCTTCTCTTTACTAGACTAGCCAAGCCCAGTTCCTGTAACCATTCTTCATATGTTTTAGTCTCCAGTCCCCTAATCATCCTGGTTGCTCTTCTCTATACTTTTTCTAGAGTCTCAACATCTTTTTTATAATGTGGTGACCAAAACTGGATGCAGTACTCTAGGTGTGGTCTTACTAAGGCTTTATAGAGTGGTATTATTACATCACTTGATCTTGATTGTATCTCTCTGTTAATGCAGTTTAGGATTGCATTAGCTTTTTTGGCTGCTGCTGCACACTGCTGGCTCATCTTTAACTGGTTGTCCACTAAGACTCCAAGATCCCTCTCACAGTTACTGCTATTTTTGGGAAAAGAATAATGGGCCTGAGCAAAAGCATTGCTGTTGTCATTCACAACAACAGCTCTAAATTGAATTTCATTCCCATGCAGATAGAACAGAACAGAACAGAACAACAGAGTTGGAAGGAATCTTGGAGGTCTTCTAGTCCACCCCTGCTTGGGATTAATTAAAGACCAGTTTCTTATGATCTTTTCCCTATCCTCAGATCATGGTAACTTTTTATTAGCTTACAGGAGGATGGTCTCTCTCTCTCTCTCTCTCTCTCTCTCTCTCTCTCTCTCTCTCACACACACACACACACACACACACACACACACACACTCAAATCACACACAGCTGAGTTTGGGTAGCTCACAACATTAAAAATCATAACTCCCCCAGTGGTAGCAGCAACATAATTAAATCAACCACTTGGTCAGCTCCATCTCCAGTTGTCATCCATGGGCCTGCTGAGAAAACCACCAGGGTCTTTTGGAAAAGCAACAAGGTAGGGACCAACCGATCATACCTCCAGTGAAATGATGTTCCATAGAGAAGGCTCTGTTTTGTGATCCCTCCAGATGTACATCCCTAGTAGATGGGATCTATGACATAGATGGTTTTCCTGTCCTGGTGTGCCAGGTGGGTGTAATAGGAGAGAGGTGATCCTTCAGATAACCTGGGCCTAAGTTAGAGCTGATCATAGCTGCCCTTGGTATCTGGTATGTCCTACTCATTTCTCATTACTGTCCATCCCATTCCTACCTTGTCTTCCCCTGAAAATATTAAATTCTGTCTTGGGGCTATCCAAATTATCTAAACTCCTAATTACAGGTAGTCCTCAACTAGCCGATAACCCGGTGTTGCCCGTGTATTTATTTATCCCAATCCTGTATTAGACAGGAAAATCCTGTAGTCGGGACTCACTCTGTTGTACTGTCTCTCGCGCAACGTCGCAAGTCTTCTATTCCTCTCCTTGTGAGTTTCTTGTCTACGCTGGTGTTTCATTTTTTTAATTGCATTTGGCCAATCGCCTGACGTTTCTTTGGAGGACTGAGAGGGAGCCCCCTTGTGGAGTACTGTGAAGCCGTTACGATGGCAAGTCCACTGGCCTGTACGGTAGAAGCCATCTTAAGGCACACCCCCTGAGGGGTGTTAGGGGTGTCTTACCCCCACAATATTTCTTTCCAGAGGATAAGTCATCTTTGTACCAAGTTTGGTTGAAATTGCTCAAGGCGTTCCAGAGTTATGCTGGAACATACACACACACATCTATTTTCATATATATAAAAAGAAAGAAGAAAGATAGAAGATAGATTTGGGCAGCTTCTGATGAATATTGTGTCTACGGATAGTTTTTTTTTTTTTTAGCTCTTCGTAACTTTCAGGATTGCACATGTTATATTCCCTTTGTAAAAAAAATATTCATACACTTCCTTTCTATGTTGAGCAGTGTGCTCTCTAGGTGTCTAAGGTATTGACATACAAACATGCAAACATCATCACCGTGTGTGTGTGTGTGTGTTTATGTTTTCGCAGGTATTTATATGTATGGTATTTAGGTTTCTTCAAGTATTTTCCCATGTCTTAATAGTTGTGCTTTTAAAGTTATAGCAACGTTTCAGCAGAATCTCATCTGCCATCCTCAGGCTTGTGTATTGGTTTTTTTTCTTAATCGTGTGTGTCAGGCTGCCACAGTAATAATATAAACAAATATGATAACATCAATCATATTATAACATATATTATCTTCCATTATAGTATCAATTATATAACCGTCAGAGATATTTGCTCATCTGTTTTTCTTTCTCCTATAAACCATATTTCACCTAATTCCACTCTTCTAACCTCAATATCTGTCTTTTAACCATTTATAGCAAAGGTCTCCAAACTTGCCAACTTTAAGACTCCCAGAATTCTGGGAGTTGAAGTCCACAAATCTTAAAAGTTGCCAAGTTTGGGGACCCCAATTTATAGAATAGTTCCCATGTTATGAAATAGTCCAAATCTTCTTTTCCTTTAATTTTTAGGATTAACCTATCCATCTCTGCACATTCCAGATTTTTTTTTTTTTTATTATAATATCGTCTGCAGGTGTTTCTGGGTTTTTCTGACATTGTGCATATGCAATCCTAGCTGCTGTTAGGATGTGTAGAACCAAATATGTGTTACCCTTATTATAATTTCCTGGAATCATGCCCAACAAAAATGTCTCAGGTTTCAGATCTATTTGTTGTCTTATCATATTTTCCAGCCACGTGTGTATTTTCTTTCAGTATTTTTTGACTTTGCATTCCTGATGGCTTCCTGGCTTTGCTCAGAATGGCTTTTTACGTCCCAATATTTTATGTTTACTAGGTGAATGGACGGTCAGTAAACCTGCCGTACAAAATCTCCAAACGTCTGACTTTACTCAAGGAACAGAATGGGATTGTGATTAACCGGGCTTCAGATATACAAGTTCAATTTTCTCCTGATGGTGAGGTAACTGTGAAAGTCAAGGATATTCCTCCAGAGAAGTTATGTGGACCATGTGGGAACTTCAATGGAGACCCCACAGATGACCAGAAATTGCCAAATGGGGAATCTGCAAACGCTGCTGACGCTCTCTATGCTTGGAAGGCCAAGGACTTTTAAAAGTGGTAAGGTATAATCAGTGTGTCAGCTAAAAAAAGGTTGGGAAGATACAAAAAAAGCTTTGACTGAAGCTGCTGAGGAATATAAAAAGCAAGTAGATAAACATAGATCCCTCCAACCACCATTTGAAGTAGGGGACAAAGTGTTTTTGTCAACTAAATATCTCAAATTGAAACTTCCCAGTAGGAAGTGGGGCCCTACATTCTTAGGTCCATTCCCTATATCAAAAATAAAAAATCCCGTCACAGTCCAATTAAGTTTTCTCCGACTATTGGGGAAAATACACCCACTGTTCCTTAGTAGTTTATTGAAACCAGCTGTAGGGTCTAATCTAAGGCCCATCCCAACAGCTCCCCCCTAACCTTTGATCATATAGGCTGAGAGGCATTATGAAATTAAGAAAATTCTTGATTCTAGATTGTACCAAGGGAGGTTACAATATTTGGTATTATAGAAGGGTTATCCTTTGTCAGAGGCTACATGGGTAAAAAGTTGGGATGTACATGCAGATAGATTGGTTAACCAATTCCATAACGAATTCCCTGACAAACCAAAGGGTCCTCTTGGAGGGGGGAGAGGGGGTTAAGGGCATCTCATTAACCCCTGGTGGTGTTTTGTTTATTATCTCTTTTAGGAGGTGAACTTCTCAAGGGGGGACGCCTGGAAGCTATATTCCACGCTGCCACATAGCCTGAGAAAGTGAGAGGGGGCTGATTTAAATTGAGTAGTTTTCAATTTAAATCAGTAGTAGACAAAATAAAATTCTTTTCTTAGTTCAAGGTTATTAAGTGTGGCACAGCAAAGAAAAAGGATCTTACACTGGGACAGATTATGATTGGTCCATGTAATGCGATGATGGGAGAAAAGGGGATGGATTGTAGTTTGGGAAATTGTGGGAAGCCCGAAAAAACATTTAGATTTGTGATTCCACAGATGTGCCAGATGCTATTCTAATAAAGGTACTTTTGAGATTATGCTTGTCTCGGAGTTACTGATTGGAATGGAGGTTTGCTGGAATGCTGACCCAGTGGTGGGATTCAAATTTGTTTACTACTGGTTCTGTAGGCGTGGCTTGGTGGGCATGGCATGGCTTGGTGGATGTGGCTTGGTGGGCGTGGCTTGGTGGGCGTGGCAGGGGAAGGATACTGCAAAATCTCCATTCCCTCCTGGCTCCTGGGGGAAAGTTACCACCAGTTCTCCGAACTACTCAAAATTTCCACTACCGGTTCTCTAGAACTGGTCAGAACCTGCTGAATACCACCTTTGGGTATAATTCAGGCAGCAATCTTGGCTGATTTTTTTTTAAAAATTTTTTTAGCAGGATTGGACTTGCATTGACGATATCAGGAAATTGTAGGCTAAGGCTAGGATTTAAAAAAATTGCACCAGAGGAAGACATTTGCAAACCATTTTTAGAAAGTGGCCAGCTGGTGTTGACTCAAGAGGGACTTTAACTTTTATCCTTTCTAATAAAATAACTGAAAGCAGATTGGGAGGGAGGAGTTTACTATGAAAAATGTGATGTGCAGTTTGCATCTAAATTTACATAAAATAAAATATAGCCTTGGTTCCTGAATTAGTTGAAAGTCAGACTGAGAAGGGTGGAAAGTACTCTTTTTCCCCCAGATCTGCACCGCAAGAAGATTAAGTAGGGTAATCAACTGCCTTCCTTGGTCACACAGATATAATGGATGTATGTGGAATTTGTCAGTTCCCTAGTCAAATTTAAGTTTGCTGCATCTGCTACAGTGAGTTAAATAAGCCATTTCTTAATTAAGTTTCCTAACAGAGCAAAACCTGTTTTTATTTTGTAATGTCTTGTTTAATGAACCTTAAATTAACAGTCATTCAGCCAACAATTAGAAGTACTAATCAAATTAAGTGCTAGTTGCCACTTGATGAATAATGTGCAATAATTATAAGTGGAATAATCGTGCAGCACAAAGTCATCATTTATAGGATTACATCAGTTTTTCAGCTTTGGTTTTTTTTTTTACTGTCCTATGAAATTGCTCTACCTTAGAATGTTAGTCTCTGTTCTTAACTTTTTCTGTAATTCTCTCCTATTACAGATAATAGTGTTTGTGCCGAGCAAGCAAGCCAAACCGAAAAGCCAAAATTTACAAGTTATTTAGCCCTCAAAATTTAATTGCTACTTTCCTGGTTCCCTTGTTGAATGTCTTCTCCAATGAGTTTCAACTCAGTGCTGTGGATTGATCTATTAAAGAAGGATCATTACTTCTAAATAGGGCCGTCACCACTGAGGAAATCTTAGCTGGTTGTGAGTTCTAATTGATTTACTTGATTAAGGTGGGGCAATTTAATGGAACTCTCCACCTAAATTTGCATACGAATGATGCAAAAGAAAAAATAAAGCTTTTGGTTTTACATATGCACACTTCCCCACAGACCAGCACAACTGGCACTAACACAGGGGTCGGCAACCTTCAAAGAGCCACAAAGGTCATGACTAGAAATCCCCCATTCAATTCTGGAGATGACCGGAAGTCCGGTTCCCCTACCATAGTGCGGCATCCTTTTTCCTCTACCTGTCCTAACCAAAAGCCCTATCAATTGTGCAGCCAACTGGTGACAGGGAGCCACAGCAGAGAGATGAAAGGGCCACTTGCGGCTCCAGAGCCGCAGGTTGCTGACCCCTGCCCTAACACAACAAAGTTCAGATAGTTGGGTTGGGTTGACGTCAGTCTTCATTCTTGATTGGCCATCATGACTTTTAGGGCTATCATCAATTGAGTTCCAAAATCTGTATAAATTTTCATCAACATATTAGGTTTTTTTTTAAAAGGTAATCCCAATGTAATCTAATGAATTACTAATAAATGTCCACTTACTACTTGATGCCTTGCAGAAATTGGATGAATTATTCCCACTGAGTTTTATTGATGGGTTTATTGATATATTTTTTTTAGAATCGATTTTGCAATTTTGCAAAATAGCCTTGGAACCACTTCAGAAAGAACAGCGTACGGATATTTGCTGCTTTTCTTTTTCTAATGCATTTTAATATGCTAGCAACCAAGGATGAATTTCTAATGACAGAAATTGTAAGATGATAATCTTAAACCATAATAATGTTCAGAATGCAACAGTGTAATAGCTATGAAGGGTTGAGGGCTGTTAGTGCCATATAATAGCAGTATACTCTGCCAGTCAATGTGCTGATTGCCAATATGCTTCAGAGTTCAGTTCAAAGTGCTGTTTTGTAACTTCTCAAGCTCTTAAGATCTTGGTACTTTTTAAAAATCTATGCAGGACCACCTGCTTCCTGGAGAATCAACCTGTTTGGTGTGCTCATCCCAGAAGGCCATATCACTCCAATCCAATAAGATCTGAAGAATGAGGGGAAGAACACATTGCATTTCCACCAATATTCCTCTTCTAAGGAACACCATGCTTCTGCAGAACTGGATGGTACCCTCCATTGCATCTTCTGGGAGGACATTCAGATAAAGTTTTTTTGTGGTAGAATGTTTGCTTTTCAAAGACTTCTAGAAATGATCAGATGGCAGGGTTTATTTTTTCCTTTTTGCTGCAGTAGTGGTATGTTCTTTATTTTATGGATTTTACATATTGTAGACTGTTGTGGATGGATATAAATTTGACAGTGTATTAAGTATCACAATATGAATGAATAAATGGATGAATGATGCCAAACATAGATAAGGCTCTTGTTTTTAAAACAATGTGGCATTCGCTGTAGGCTATAAGAACAGTGGTCCTATAAAATGGTATCTGAGCAACTTCTGGCTTTCATTGTGTGATGGTTTATTATCTTCTTTGGGGAGTGCTTATCTTATATAGCAACAGCACTTAGACCTTTATACCGCTTTACAATGCTTTACAGCCCCCTCTAAGAGTCAGCATATTGCTCCCAACAATTTGGGTCCTCATTTTACCCACCTAGGAAGGATGGAAGGCTGAGTCAACCTTGAAGCTGGTGAGATTTGAACTTCAAAATTGCAGGCAGCCGGCAGTCAATGGAAATAGGCTGCAGTACTGCACTCTAACCACTGTGCCACCATGGCTCATGTGCTGGGATTATAGCATTTGGGACTCTTCAGGTGATGCTAAACTGCAACTCCTAGCATCTTTTATCATTGACAATATTATCTAAGACTATTGGGAATTGTCATTCAATTATATTTAAGCAGTCATCTCTATCATAAAATATTCTAGTTAATAAAAAGAGACAAATAAGCTGGGTCCAATTATCATATTTTGGACAGTACAGTTTCTCCTACCTCTCTTGGGAAGTCTGTTAAATGCCAGAAAAGCTAGAAAGAAAGAGAAGAAGGCAGCACCTGAGGGCAGGTCAAGAAGCAATGGATGAAAACTAATCAAACAGAGAAGCAGCTTAGAACTAAGGAGAAATTTCATGACAGTTAGAACAATTAACCAGTGGAACAACTTGACTCCAGAAGTTGTAAATGCTCCAACACTGGAAGTTTTTAAGAAAAGATTGGATAACTATTTGTCTGAAGTGGTGTAGGGTTTCCTGCCTAAGCAGGGGGTTGGACTAGAAAACCTCCAAGGTCCCTTCCAACTCTGCTATTCTATTCTATTCTATTCTATTCTATTCTATTCTATTCTATTCTATTCTATTCTATTCTATTCTATTCTATTCTATTCTATTCTAGTCTAGTCTAGTCTAGTCTAGTCTAGTCTAGTCTAGTCTAGTCTAGTCTATTCTTATTCTATTCACAGTACGTTGGCTGGATTACAGCAGTGATGAGTACATAGTTGGAAGACACAAAGACCCAGATCAGAAACAGATCATCATCCTGGAGAAGATAGTCACAAGAGCCGGCACTGACTTGGTGGCACATAACCAGGATGAAAATGGTAGCAGTGGAGTTGATAACCTAAGCATCACATGACCCATTTTTAACAAACTGTTAAAAGTGGGCTGGAACATTCTTTAAGACCTTGGAAGCAAGGTTATATTGGAAGCAACGTAAGGAAATGACTTCCTAATTCACTGGAGTATAAGAAGGAGGGGAAGTAAAGCACATTCAAACTTGCATCATTCTCTTATCTCTCGACTTACAGCCATTCATTTAGAGGAGGTTCAAAGTTACAATGGCACTGAAAAAAGTGAATTATGACCATTTTTCACACGTACGACCATTGTAGCACCCCCATGGTTATGTGATTAAAATTCAGAAGCGTGGCAACTATGGCTCATATTTATGATGGTTGCCGTATCCCAGAATCATGCGATATCTTTTTTGCAACCTTCTGACAAGTCAGGTCAATGGGGAAACCATATTCACTTAAGAACCATGTGACTAACTTAACTGCAGTGATTTATGTAACCACTGAAGAAAAGTCGCAAAATGGGGCAAAACTCACTTTACAACTGCCTCATTTAGCAATAGTTGGGTTGGGTTCAGCTGTGGTCATAATAGCATTAGCAATAGAACTTAGAGTTATATACCACTTCACAGTGCTTTACAGCTCTCTCTAAGTCAGGGGTGTCAACCCAAGGCCAGTGGACCGTATCCAGCCTGTGATGTGGTCGGATCCAACCCACAGGGCCATCCTGGAAATCATAAGGGGCCAGCCCACATCACTTCAGCCCGGTCTACCCAATGCAAAGAGGAAACATGCCAGCAGTTTGAGGAGTGGCATCAAGCTGGCCACACCCACCCAGTCAGCCACGCCCACCCAGTTGACCATGCCCAGTGAGTGGTGTCAAGCTAGCCACGCCCACCCACTTGGCCACACCCATCCAGTCAGCCCCACTCTGGCCAGGTTAACCACAGCCCTGATGCAGCCCTCAATGAAATTAAGTTCGACACCCCTGCTCTAAGTGGTTTTACAGAGTCAGCCTATTCCCCCCAACAATCTGGGTTCTCATTTTACCCACCTCGGAAGGATGGAAGGATGAGTCGACCTTGAGCCGGTGAGAATTGAACTGCTGGCAGTTGGCA